TGTCTTTGTAGTTGGTATTGCACCTGGACCTTCAGAACCCTCTTTAGAGCAAATGAACTGGATTCTACGCCCAGTTGTGAATGAGCTTCAAACATTATGGAACCCTGGCCTCTTACTTTCACAAACTCATGGGTACAAATCAGGCCGTCTGGTTCGAGCTGCGCTTCTTCCATTTATAGCCGATATACCGGCTCTCAGACGCTCACTGGGATTTCCAAGTGCAACAGCTATGTTCTTTTGCTCCAAATGTCTCATCACCAAGAAAGAAATCAACAATCTAGACAAAACCAAATGGTCAGTACGTACATGTGCTCAGCACAAAGTGTGGGCATTTCAGGCTTGTGATGCAAAAACTGTGAAGGAACAGCAAAATATCTTCAAGACCCACGGTGTCCGTTACTCAGTATTAGTTGAACTTGAATATTGGAACATTGTAGATTATCATGTAGTTGATTCTATGCATAACCTTTTGCTTGGCCTTCTGGCATGGCATGTTCGAAGATTTTGGGCCATGAAAGATGAGGACAACACCAACGAAGGACTGGAGCCTATAACGAATGTGGAGCTTCGTGATCTTTTCAATGAACACGCTGAAGCGCAGAAGCTTCAAGAAAGAATTCCAGTGCAAGAAACAGAAGGCGCTAAAACTGAACACAACAATGAGGATGAAGATGGCTGTAACATTGGTGAAACTTCTTTCGGTGAAAGTACATCTCCGAGTGATGAAGACTTCGACCCTCTGGACGATTCTGGATGGAACGGGAAATGGGATGCTCCTCCTTTTGAAGAGATAATTTTTGACGCCACAATGCTTGCAAAGATCAATCGCCGGCTTCAGCATATCCATATCCCTACGTGGATCAAGCGTGCTCTTCCTGTGCTTGGAAAAGCGTCATTTGGAAAGCTTAAGGCGGACGAATGGAGAAATCTATTCTCAATCCAATTGCCACTCATACTTGTACCAATGTGGGCGGATCAAGGGAATGTGAAGATGTCTCTCCTGCAGAACTTTCTACACCTAGTGTCACTTGTCAATGTTGCTCTCAAACGCGAAATGACATCAAAGCACATCAAAAGCTATGAACATCATATTCAAAATTACCTTGAAGGATCCGTTGAATTATTTCAGCATTGTGGCTTGGCACCAAACCATCACATGGCTCTCCATATGACTGAATTACTTGAAGAATTTGGCCCTGTGCGCACCTGGTGGTCTTTCTTTTTTGAAAGATTGATGGGGAGCATTTTGAAAGGCTGCCACAACAATCACATCAGTGAGTTTTTTGTGCTAAAGAGGAGTTATAATCAGCTAATTACATGAATGCTTATGTCATTAGGTGAGCTACCAATAACATTCCTCAAGCAGTTCTCGCGAGCTGGGAATCTTGCTGCGCTTCTGGAAAACGAAAAAGTGCCAGCTGCACTCAAGCCCTATCTTCCTCGATTACGGTCTTTGTATGAGACTATGGAACCTACTCCGAAGCGCCTTTCGAACTCGAATATGCAACCCATCAGAGCTGATATACTCAAAAGGTTGGAGAGACGCTTAAATAGTGAAGATAATCAATACCAATGGATGGTTCCAGAGGAGTTGTGTGTACTTTCAGAGGATGATGCACTGGGATACGAACCACTTCATCCCCAGGCATTTTTTTATAATAGGATCATGCACAATTCTGTTTCATATTCAAACTTTAGCAGCAGTCAGAATGACAGTTTCATCCAATTCAAGATGAGTTCAACTGGTGCTCTGGCTTATGGGCGTATCTTTTCGATCTTTATACATCGTCGGTCTCCGACACAATCAGAAAACATTTTTGATACCTGGATGCATGTTCAAAGGTTTCCTGGGATTCCTGCTTCTCTAGAAAAATTCGATCCTTTTCGTCACACAAAAGGATTCCACACCCAAACTTGTCTACGCGCATGGGGTCCAACGGAAGACTGTATTGTCAGATTAGATGAAGTTGTTGCACATTGTTCATGGATGATGTTCAGGCCAGCGGAAATCAACTCAAAATTAAACATTGCTACTGTAGGTTTAGTTTCTATGGCCAGATAGATTTCATAAGTAGATCATTGTAGCACAGGATATTGTTTAATTACAAATATTGAGTTTTGAGTCAAGGAAAAGCAAAACATGAGATACCGATATGACCCTTGTTCAAAGTGAATCCAAAGCTATCATGATTTGAGTTAGACCAATCTCAGGTTTGATTCCTAACATCACTTGACCTTGAGAGCCAAGCTGTTCAAGAAAGTTTGGCGAATAACAGTCTCTTGGTAGTCCTTCGGGTGCTTCAATAAGACTTTCTGATGCATCATGACGCCGGATACGGGGGCGAGATGGTCGTCCACGCTGCGGAGAATTCGAGTTTTTAGGAATACTCTGATCCAGTGTTCCCTTTCGCGCCTCCAAGCGAACCAGGAGCCTTTCAAGTGCCGTACTACGCCAAGGGAGTTTAAAAGCACATATCGAACCTTTGCTGGGATTGAGATCCTGCCTCTCTTCGGTATCAGTTTCATTGTTGCTACAGGTTACCTTGATGACTGTTAGAAGTGGCCAGAGCGTTTTTTCTTCAAGGGCTATCTTGGACCGCATTGCTCTTAACTGCAAGGTCAAGGTTTGATGGCAATAAGACACCACGCGCAATCTAAAACATTGAGTGAGATCATACTTACACGGCATAATCGTGTAGCACGTCTGACATTTATAGCTACACATAACTTTTGCTCCTACGTACCACGTCTGCTGACGGTATCTGAAGAACGATCAATGTGTGAATGGGTGTCTATGTGTCAGTGTTTAGTCTTTCCTTATATCACACAGAGATTTAAATATCACACCTTTTCATCAGAGTTTGTATATGGGATGAGAAACACTTTTTTATGTACGGAATGTTGTCCTTATCCAAACAAATCCCAGTGTACACTCCCAAATGAACAAGTTTAAAGAAAATCCTCTGCGAAAGATCCCACATACGTTTATTTTGCCTCGAACCTGGTGAGTCTTTCAAGTTTGGGCAAAAGGATTTCACTTGAGCTGCCTTCATCAGCTCCCACGTGACGGATAGTTGTTGTGGCGAAGCTTCTTGATGTCCAGGTCCGTTTGGATACGGGAAACAAGGGTCTATTCCAGGACCATGGTCCTGAAATTTGGATGGCCGTGCTGGGTCGATACGAATGCTGTCTAAATCTATTTCGCAATTCCATGCTTCCTGCTCTTGGTCGGTCGCTGGGGGTGGGAGTGGCTCAGATTCTGACTTCAGGCCGAACATCATTTCAAGATGGAAACGAATTTGTGCCTAGTATGCGCAGGAGGAAGTGGTTTCAACTCCAAAAATTGCAGATAGAAACAATCAAAACTTACAGCGGTGCGTCCTCCGCGTGCCTGACCATTGATATTGCCTGAATTGCGATTACCAACAGATGTCATTACAGCCTCTGACAAGCTCTTCAGTTCGCATTCGAGTTTTTCAATCCTTTTGTTCGCCTTGATCAGCGACACTTTGGTTTCTTTCCATAACCTTGTGAGCTCTTTGTTAGACAGCGCGGATTCTGAAACGTAGGATAAGTCACTAATGCCGGGAAAATGTAATAGAATATGTAAACACACCTTTTGGAAGTGCCTCATCATCCGACACCATTCCAGATTGCATACCTTCTGATCTGTGATTTTCGATGTGCTCGAACTCAAGGTCTTGATGATTGAACAATTCTTCATCTTCAGAAGTCAATAATGCCGGGACAATGCAATAAAGTATATGAACACACCTTTGAGAAGTGCCTCGTCATCCGACACCATTCCAGGTTGCATAACTTTTGATCTGTGATTTTCAGTCTGCTCAAACTCGAGATCTTGATGATTGAACAATTCTTCATCTTCAGGAATATAGTCACTGTCAGACTCTCTGCACTCCTTCTCTTTTCCCTTTTTTGACTTTGACTGCATTGAATTGGATCGTGACAAGTCCGTTGGTCGGGGTCGAGGGAACAGAAGTGTCCCGTGTTCTAAACTCGGTAGAGATTTTGGCGAGGGCTCTTTGTCGTTTCTTCCGTACCTTGATCCCCCTACAAATGTTTGCTACATTTGTTACAACAAGAGACGTACGCGAAGTTTGAACAGCAAAACTTACATTCAAGCACTTCCTTTGATGTCGTTGAAAAGGTGAAACTCCTTTGCGTGGCATCTGATTCCTTTTGAGCTGTTGACGTAGATGCCACCGGATCTTCTAGATCACAAGTTACGGGGGGTATGACTCAAATCACAATACTAACTTCAGTTTTTGGAATTAATTGACTGGTAGGAATCCTTCAGACGTACTCAATTCGTGATAGACCTTACAATTTTCAACTAGTTTCAATTTATCCATTCCAAACGTGTCCAAACCCACTTCTTGCAGCATCTTCTCCAGAACTTTGTTGCTATAGATTTGATAGTCTATTTCCTGAGGATCCGATGTACCAGCCTCTTCAGACGTTGAACAATCAAGACTTCGGCCTTCAACATGAGCTATTGGTGCATCCGGACTGGGAGTTTTTTGAGAGCAAATGAAACCTTTAATGCCTTCAACATGAGCTGTTGGTGAATTCGGATTGGGAGTTTTTTGAGGCGCTTTACTCGAGAGTCTTCTTTCCTTTTTTGAGATCCTTTTTTCAAGCAGCTCCAGGAGACGGGTCCGAGATGTTTTCGGTCCAACAACACTGACGTCTTCAACGACACCTTTTGCATGATCTTCTTCAGAAAACAAGCTTGCAAAATCAGCTTTGAACGCACGGAATCTAGATTTACCATGCTTAGCCCACCTGTAGTACGTTTCGTTTTCTTTCTTGAAGGTACTATATCATTATTATTTTCACCCTCTGCCACGTTAGTTTGTTTACGTTTACACCTGGTGCTAGGTGGCTCTACCAGAGGTGGATCACTGATTGTTGATGAACGAAGCACCGACCGGCCGCGGGATCCCTTTGCTGGCATGATTATGGTATGCAGGCGAACAAGATCGAAATAGAGACAGTTAAAGTAGATGATCAGATGCGAATAGGCAAAAATCAAACTTCCAGAGAATTAAAACTTCTGAAAAGCTAGCCAAACAAGGACCGAAAACGCAAGTGGTGACAAACAGAAAGTTAGCAATTATCTTATAGGAGAGATTAATCATCACATCAACGGGATATAAGCAGAGGTAGTAAACTTAGGATAAGTTCTGCGTCTCGTTCATGGAAACTGAGTTGACGTCAATGAATCCCGTTGCTGAGATCTTGTCCCACTAACTTGCCCAGATAGTCATCCCAAGGTTTTGGGGAAAATAGCGCAAACAAGTGTAAGCGTTGAGTCTTGGTCTGTTGTGAACAAAGGCAGCCATGAACTTTTGACTTGGGTCATCTGAAATCTGAATTTTGTAATCAAGTGATTACAAAAGTCCGACCTTGATCAAGACAGTTGACTACGTATTTTTTTATACAAAGGACTGTAATCAACTACTGTAATTAGGTCTGAATTAAAATCCAAAATATCCCTTAAAACATCTCCTGAATTCCAAACAAACCACCAACAATAACAGCAAATATTGGATGCACTCTCAATTCGATCACCCTATCCACAAACACCCTTTCATAACACGAACATTCCCCTTTCAATGTCAAAGCAACAACTTCAACATAGAACCACCAGTACGTAACATTTGACCGCCATGGTGAGCGTATAGGATTTGTTCATTAGCTGACTTTAACTATCTTCTCAGCCAGCTACCTGGACGAGATGATGATAGCAATTCGTGCACTTCATGCCAGGGTTGAAGCATTGGAATCTCGATACCCAGCAGGAATTTGACATCACCTAAAGTCCAAGGATACATTCAAGCTCGTTCCAGCAAATTTTAGGACGTATAATTTCAAATTGGTACTTATCTTAAAAGAATGTGACTGTAACATTGAAACTCCATAATTTGATCGATGTATTGAAGCCTTTTTTTAGTCTATGTCATCATCTACATTGTATCGTTTGACTCTGAGTAGATGGAGTCTACTGTTGCTGTTGAACCAAATGATATCGTAACTTGTCACCATTTCTTCATATGTATATAGATAAGGATTCCTTTTAAGAAATGGTGTATATTAGTGTTAGAGGATAGGATGGCCATTTTGAATGATAAAAATTACCCGCAAGATTGAGACATCACAGAGTCACCAGCATCGTTCATGCAACGGTGCTATCAGGAATTGACAACAAGAGTTGTATATGTCATGTGCGACTCCCTTTTTCATGATATCTCGTCCTGTTTATTGCATTTGACACCTCATCGAAGCGGAGAATTTATGGATTGGTATATCACATACATACTTAAATAAGGTGTATAAATAATTGTGAAGCTGATAATGATCTGATGGCTTTAATTGTGTATGAGAACATTAGAAGGTATCACAATCACTCCATAGATGGAGTTATCCAACTACAAATAAAATAGATAAACATTTAGTATAACTCAAGAAGGTGTATGAATATTCGTATAAATAATCTGTATAACCATGATCGATCTGATAGCTTTAATCATATATGGAAAATCCTATGAGGTGTCACAAATGAGATTGTTTTATCCTTCAATTCCAAATAAAATGGACAGAATTTACAGAAGAAAAAATGAAGCGCATATTTCGGAATGTGACTGCAATAATCATCGAGGATGTCAATACGAAAATTGATGCTTATTGATGAAAATTGACCAACCTTCAAACTGACACGGGTTGATATATGGCGTCAGGAAGGGCTAGGTTGAAGGAGCTAGTTGGTATTTGACAAGGATATCCCTAAGCAATTGATATATATATGGTTAGTAACGAGTAAATCGGAAATGATCATGCAATGTTTGTCATGAAGAACTTACGTATGATGCTTGATAAATGCAGTGATGAATCCAACATTTTGGACCATGGTATTAAAAATCTCCTGACGCGCTTTCAATGAAGTATTTGCACTTTTTAACTGCTCCTCAAAGTCTTCACGTTCCGTTCGTGAGAGTTGAGGCTGACGCAGACGAAACTGGATACTTTCGATCAACTCGTGGGAATCTCGAACAAGGTGTAAAGTCTCTTGAAGGACCTCGACAGCTTCATTTTCAACGTGACTGATTTCATCAATCTCTTCTTTCTTCAGAAACTTGTAGTTCTGGAGAAAGTGTGAGTTTAATTCTTCGGCTGCAAGACGGTAGTTCCCATTCTTGAAGTTTTGGAGAACGTATGCTTCGAAGTCTCCAATTCGTTTGGTATCGATATCCGCACTGGAGTTGACCCATCTGGTAGATTGCGAAGGTATGTAAATGGGGGCTTCGAATAATGCTTGAACATAGCTTTTTTCGCAATTGAAAGACGAGACTAAATTAGATAGACGTGGGGCGACCATTTCGATGAAAATTTTCAAGAGAAGCTCATGATCGTGGCGTGCGTTGTCAGTAAATTGGAGATGAGGATAAAATGCTAGTATCACCTCCACGATTTGGGAGGGAGTGGCTTTGGTTATGAAGAGGTCGGGATCAATTCTAGGCTTATCGTCACCAACAACATAATCAAGGATATAATTGGGTAGGAAAACGTAGGATTGGATCTGATCGTATGACATGATGTATGACTGATGTTATATAAGGAGTTTGAAGGTGATAATTGGTATTTATAATGATCAAGAAAGTAACAAGAACGAGCAGGTTGAAAACTGGCTTCGTTTGTACGAAAGGAAATAAATCGGATTGATGATAGCAGGTTGTCAGGTGATAGCAGGTGATCTTATGTTTTTGTGAAGTGGGTTATATAAATGAGACACTGTATATATATATATCTAAAGTCAATTCAGAATGTAATTTTTTTTTTCAATCGACTTCTTGCAATCAAGTCATCCAAATCAAGATCAACCCCGATCTTGATCGGCTCAAATTTTGAATTTGTTGTACATATTAATTAGTATCTTGGTTTCAATATATTCGATTTTTGATCTCTAGGTTGGCATCATGAGGCGAGCGCGCTCAATACTGGAGCTCGTGTTTGCTTTCCTTTGGGTCACGCCACTTTGCACACTGGGGAATACACAGCAGAGGCAGGAGGCAATGGTAGGTATATTATGAGACGCTGGATACATTGCGAATGTACCATACAAATAAGAGAAACAAGAATTTTGGTTCGACGAACAGTTTTTTAATGTAAAGAAGTAATTTGGAGGTAAAAAAATAGGGAGGTGGATGGTTATAAGAAAGGAACTTATAAGTCTAGAGGGATATTCTGATTATTTGCGCCACTTATTATTAAAAAAACTTGGACACAAAAAACTTACACCGGAAGAAACTTGGGAGACAAAGATCCACAAGGCAAAGATCTATGTACTCTATGACAGATAATATCTTGTACAATAGTCTCAAGGCCATAAATAACAATTTAGAAGCAGGCTTTACATTTTCAGACCCATCAGAGCCCTAGGCGTCAGAGCTGCCTTCTGTTTCATCCTGCTCCATCATGCGGGCAATTACATCCTCGTGCGTGGAGATATCATCTCTTGCGATATCCAATTGTTGACGCAAATCAAGCACTTGGTTCTGTAAAGCCTCAAGCTTGGCTTCCAGGGTAGAAACGGCAGAAATCTCTCCATCAAGCCGATTTACATTGGTTTTGAGGTGGGAAACCGAATGATCTATACGAGTCAGTCAGAAATCTGAGTCACGTGAAATCCGAGAATGTGGATTGACAAACCAATTTGCTCCAGTCGCATGGTGTGTTGAAATAGGGTCATTGAATTCATTTCAGCCTTCTCTGCCATCTGCGCTTTAGAGCTTTCGAGCGCACAGACTGTACAGATATGAAGTAACGTTAGAATACAATTTTGACTCGTAAATCCGTTGTTCAAAAGAATCGATCCGGAACTTACTGCGTTCTTCACGGCTTCTCTCCTCTAGAAATACTTCGACTCCGGACTTTTTGATGCCTTTGACTGCAGTTGAGGTCTCTGTTGATGTGTCAAAAGAGATTGGTGGGATATCCTTACCTATCACTGACAGAATAAGTTTATTAACTAACTAAAAGACTCAATGGAGGTATATTAAAAACAGAAAGTCGTCACCTAGATTCCCAGTGTCCAAAACATCTGTGTCTGAAAAGTCGATGAGGTCCATGACCTCATTGGTCCTGGTGAGTTCAGGCTTAGGTGGGATACAAATTTTGTGTTTGATTTTCATGGTGCCACTTGTAGCAGCACTTGACATCGCAGGTTCCAAATTTGACACTGTGATCAATGTATTTTCTGATTCTTCAAACTTGACCGCTTTAGTTTTGCTGATTTCATTTTGAGTCGCGTCAGATGGACCTTGGTCTATTTCAGAAGGCTTCAAAGTAATCTGTGAAGTATTCGAGAGGAGAACTCGAAGCATTGAGTACTACGAACAATCATGATGAAAATGTCCAAAGTAAAAAGGTGACTTACTTTCTTTTTATGTGTGGTACTGCTCTTACGCACACGTGAAACCTTGGATTCTAAAGATACCTTAGATTCTATAATTATACACGCTTGGTTAGTAAATGTCAGGTATGTTGTGTTTCAGTGTACATACCTCCTGTTTTGACCTGCTTCACACTTGGTCCATTTTCACTTCCGGTGTCTAAAGCGACTGCACGCTTTCAAACAAAAGACGGTGATGGTGATGAAGAGACTGGTTTCGTTTTGTTGATCAAGTTCTCATGAAGGGTGTTGATTTTTGGGGGGTGATATTGGACGGTTTCAATTGGAGCAAGAGCGGTCTGCTTCGTGTTTGTGGTGTGTGATTGAGTGATGTTTCCATGTTTCGATGTCTCAGCCTTGGGTTTGCTTGCAGTACCAAGTGTCGCTAAAGCAGGCACATGACTAGTCAGCTTTGGAAAGACTGATAGAATGAGATCAAAAAACGAGAGTCATAGTAATCAATAAGAGTTGATAACAAGGATGGAGAATAATCAGTCTCAAGATGGATAGCTCACACTCAGGCTGCTCCCCTCGCACCATGTCCGAAAGTTTGTCTATACCGATTCTTGGTCTCACCGTAGTCATTGGATGATTGATATGCATCCAATCAATCATCATTTGTCTGGTTACACCGGGAGCGCTGGGGTCAAAAATATCAGGCATATTTTAGCAATTAACGATGTATAGGGTGTTGGGAAGAGTAAGATCGAAGCGATAACCTGATTTCAAACTAAAAATGCTGGAAGAGGTAAGGATTATAATCAGGTAACGAATCAGTAGATGGATGTGAATTAAGAACAGATCATCAAAGAGGAAGGGTACGTACAAAAAAACTTCAACCATGAGAGCTTGATTATAAAGGCCCGATTGTCATCCAATTTGCAAATTCTAATGAAAAGAAGCTTCTCAAAGGTGATTCTGAATGCGAAATTAACAGATCATTGTTTGTCATCATTTGATGAGTTGATCAGCGGATCAGGTGATGACAACCAAAACCAGGCCGGTGGGGGTATAACACTGGAGAAGAAACATACGTACTGCTAGATCTGGAAGCTTGATGATCACTACAGAAAATCACCAGAGCCTCATGTGGCTTATTGTTTGCGTATAATTGAATTGAATTCCACTGTCGTGTAGCTTATTGATGGATCTGTTCACACCGCAGACCTGATGAGTTGCAACGATTGCGAGTACATACAAGTTTGCCTTACTTCGGGTAGCCTAAGATCAGCAGAAATCTTCTGGTAATCAGATAGTTTATGGATGAAGACTGGGAAAAGTCTTATGAAATCTGGATACGTTACCGGAATCTTTGATACTCAAGTGGATTAACTCAATACTTCTCAGTTTACCTTGGTATTTTTTCTCATCTCTACACGCTTATTTGTGTAATAAAATTAATTCAGTAATTTGTAATCTACATTTTTGTAATAAAATCATTTTTGAAATCTGTACAGAATACATTAAATTTTGTGTAGTGTTACTACTTCTCTCTCTTTTATAATTCTTTGTCTGGAAAGAATGCTAAATGTTTGCACCAATCCTTCTTCATAAATATCCATTCATGTACCTTTCCACTTTTCACATTCATATATGTCAATTGAATTCACCTGTTGATTAAATTGATTCAAATCATTTCATTTGATTGATACACTGCCAACTTGAATTGGATTACTCAAATTGTTGTCCTGTTCTCCATGAGTGCATCTAACCACGCTTCAATAATATCTTGCATCATCCTCTAACTTTGATCAATTTCTTTGAGTTTGGTTGATTTTAAAAATTTACCTATACCCAAAATTTCATATTTCAATTGAAGAATTGATTGACATTGATGGCTTTTGATACTGGGCTTTATGTCTTCCACTCTTAGAATGAGTCCATATTTTACAATTTGTTGATTAGGATATAGCTTAATTGATTGTTCAATTGCGATGATTTCAGCAATCAGTATTGGAATTCTGGACTTGAAGTTGAAGTTCAATGGTGTGCCTTTGATCAATAGGTGATTTGGGTTAAGGTAGACTATAAGGGGATCATGGGTTTGAAATTGTCATTCTCAGGAGTAGGTTCCAACCCAAAGTGTTGATTCAACGTGATTTGATTTTTTTAATTATAGATTGGGAATATATCAACCTTTTTTTATGATGATTGTTGGCTAATCAAGTTCTGTTCAGTTGGTTGATTGAATTTGGATGTGGTTGTAAATGTTTAGACGGTCAGTGAGAATTCTGAGATTGCTGTCTGAATATGCGCAAGAAAATTATGATTACATTTGTATTCTTGAATTCAGTTAACAAAAAGGGTTACCTAACCTTTGGTGATGATTCTTTGAGATGCTTTATCAGCCATAGTATTGCTAATCAACGGTCAGATTTGATTGATTTTAAGATACAATAGGTGATGAATAATACACTTATAGCAGTCAACAAAGCAAATTTGAATTAGCTTTAAATCTCATACTGCTTATAAACTACCAAGATTAGACTACATCTAGTTGTATTCTCCTGAGCTTGAAGCTGGGGATTTCTCCAATTTAGAGTTTGTTCCTTGTAATCATCATTTTTGGATTGATATTTAACAGCTAATCTGTTCCTGATTTCAAGAACACTTTTAGCAAATGAATCAATCAATTGTATGGAATCAACATCTGATCATTATAAAGTCTACTCAACCGTGTAAATCGACTTCAAATTACACTTACTGTTGAATAATAATTGCTGAGATAAGATAATAATTGAAGTCAAAATCAATTGTTGAGTAAACAGATAGATTTTGATCGAGCAAAAGGCTTCTTTTTGACCGATGGAAGGCTTGATCCATATCAATAAGATGCTCAATTTTAATCAAGGAAAAGGCTTGATTTTAATTCTGATCGATGGAAGGCTTGATCAAGATCAATAAGATGATCGATTTTAATCAAGGAAAATGCTCGATTTTAATTGAGTGCAAGGTGTGATGTGGGTCAATAACAAGACTTGATTTCAATTGAGTAAAAGTCCCAATTTTGAGGGTATAAGAAGATTGAATGTAATAGAGTAGATAGCTTGGTTTGGATCAAGTGAACAGCTTTATTTGAGTCAATGAGACAGCCTGATTTCAATCAAGTGAAAAGCTTGATCTTGAAAGATTGATTGTGATCGAGTGAAAAGGGTGATTTGGATTAAGTGAAAGGCTCGAATCAAGTCGAGAACAGAGCATGAATTTGATCGAGTGGAAAGTTGATTTTCATCGGGTAAAAAAGTCGACTTTGCTCCATGAAAAGATTGATGTTGATCTTGTCTGTTTGTTTGGGAGTAAGGGGCTTTGAACATCCTGAAAGTCAATTGATGATTAGTTACATTGAATCTGAAACCTGCAATCGATGTCAGCAAAGAGTGTCAGTGGAAGTGGAAGATTAACTCAACTGGAGTTGGCTTTGATGGATACAATTCATCACAAACTGCTACTGATGTCCTAATTTGATAAGTTGAGTTGACAGGATGGGCTGAAGATTTTGAAACTTGTTAATAATTTGAGATGAATAATCTCATTTAAGACAAAGGAGATGATCAAATACAACTGTACTTGCTGATTTTGTCATTCTTTGTTGGTTTGAATGATCCTGATATCTGATCATGACAGAATTCTTGATTTCGAATGTTTATTTCAACAATGCCAACATGAATCAGTTATCAGACACTCTCCTAAGCTTAATACCTTCAAAAAAAGCTCGTTTTGAAACTGACTTGAACTATGAACTCGCTTTTAGGTAAAGATCTCAATGGTTTCATTCGCATGGTTTCTCATTGTATCTTTAGGCTACAGTTAAGGATAAAACTTTGATTTGAGATATCATGTGTTTTCATTATAAAACTGTTCTGGTGTGATATAACAAAGCTGTGGTTGAATAGATTGTACCTCATTGAAAACATTCTGTAATGTGAAATGATTCTAGATGATTTTTGTCCTGATCTGATATTTTCAATTTTTGCCTGTCTATGGTATCTATTAAGAAAAGGATTGAGTCATTAATTGTTTAAACTGAGAGTCATGCTCTAGTAAATCATGGTAAGATACACTTACATCTTATAACTGTTGTTGAAGATATTTATGGTTAGTCATCGTGATCGATTCAGTTTTGTCGTTCTTTTGAATTTGCCCGAATCTTTAGTTAATCAAATGCTCAATCCAAGTCCGGTGAATTGAGGATAAAGGATCAAAATCAGACAATCAATTGATTGTTGGTTCACATGATGGTTGGTGATGTCAATGAAGCAATCAAGTTGAAACAAACACCTAGTCAAGATCCAAAAAGTCAAAGGTGCAACAGTCAGTTCTCGAACTAAAAGCTTCAAATTCTAACAATATGAGAAAATATATACCTTTGGAAATCATCAATAAGCTTCAGAAGGGCAAAGACGAAGCCATATTGGATGAAATTGGATGAAAATGATGAGAGAAGATGGAGACGACTGGAGATATTGTACACTTGAATGCAAGAGGTGTGCGTTAAGTGTGCCCTACCTTATGGTATCATTAGGGTTTACACCACTTTTGAGCAGGGATAAGGGGGTTTAATCAGGTTTTGGGCGAACCAAGTTTGCTCTTAACTTGTATGATTTTGAAACCTGAGTATTTTTTTGAAATGATTTTTAAATATGAGTCATGACTTTTTGCTCTGAGTACACGTCTTCTTGTCTTGATTGTGGTCTTGTGGATAAGAGTTGAAGTGAACAAAATGTTTGGTTTGAAGAATGAAATTAGAAAGAATATGAAAAATTTTGGGCAAATCCAGAAGCTTGTCATTAATATTCTTAAATCCGGATTCACCCCCCGGAAATCTTGGTGCCCTGTCATGATGGCAGGGCTTCAGCAATTTGGGATTGTGATCAACCAGGATCTCTCTGCTTCCCACTTTCGACTTGCCAAAGTGTAGCCATGGGTAGCATTGAACAATGCTGAATTTATCCTTCCTCTGGCTCATCTATTTTTATTACTAGAGACTATGCGGGCCCGCCTGCAACAGTTGAATTGTGAACCAACTTAAGTCTCATAATGCCAGTGCCTGATATAGTAACCTAAGTTGAAAATGACAAAACAACACGTAGCCAATGTTGCTTATCACCTCTACCCAATACCTCAGTAGTCACTTATGTGCATGCCTTAGGGACTTTGGACTGGATCCAAAGGTTTCCCCAAAGTTTGTAATGTTATAATAACAGGAAAAGCATTTAATCATTCTTACAGGGAGGCAAACAAGTGATGTTGATACAAAACAATATAAAAACTGTGTAATCATGGTTGTAGAACATAAATAGCAGCATAATGTCCAGGGATTTTTCCTTCTGGCCAAAGACAATTCTATAGTCAGGTGTGCTTCAAAGTCATCAACTCAAATCACATCTTACCCACAATTAAAAATGCTGAAAGATTTGATTAGTCAGGGACAATTATGAAAAACTCTTGTTACACAAATTTGACTAAACCATTCAGAACTCCATTGAAATTGGTGTTTTTGTCATTCTAATTTTCTAGGATTTTACTAAAGTCAGAACCCCCTTCAAAGGGTTGACTGCCCTCTTTTAGCTGTCGAAGGAGTGTAAAAAACAAAAGTGTCTGGATAAGTGTCAATTTAAAACAACTCATGGGGGGCGGTCTCAAAAGCAAGTGAAATGGAATCTGGAACATTCTAATGACTTTGATCTTATCAAGGGTCCATTTGTTATCAATGAACATATTGAGCTTTAGAGCATCCGCAACCGTTTGCATTAAATTTGGAGTTACTTAACTCTAGGTTAAAGATCTTTAGCCAGAGTTGAGTAATCTGACACAAAATCCCACAGTGGCTGTCTTTAACTTGG